CCCCAAAACCCCAAAACCCCAAAACCCCAAAACCCCAACCTTTAAAAGAATTATTGAGTTCTATAAAATTAAAACATTCTCAAATGAAGCATAATAAGCAGAAGCAGTTTAGCAAAGTTTTAGAAAAAGGTCATGATAAATATATCAAAGCGCCTACTAATGACAGAAAAAAGATGCTATTAGACCATTCTAAATTCCCATTTTTACAGATCCCTAAAACTTTGATTTGACTAACTTCTCAAGGAATTGAGGGCTGTTCAGAAGAGTTCAATGCTAATGAGCAAAATCTTGGCAATATGCTTCTGGATTTTAGGCAAAAGGATGATCCTGATGCTTATATCTTACTCCGTTGAAGCCCTTCAGGTAAATTTATCTCATTCGATGTTTCTCTAAGTATCCAAGAAGCTCGATTTGAGGTACAGAAAGATGAAAAATTTACCATCAAAGTTAGTGTTGCCATATAATGTCTTTAGGGTGATCTAGAACGAAATGAATATATTTTGGGAATCTATAAGCTTACTGAGATTTATAACAAAACATACTACTTCTGAGCAGTAAGCAATATAGGGATGGTTTATGTTGTCAAACGAGTGCAAGATTCCTGACAAGTGGTTACTAGAATAAACCATAAAGCCCTTGATAGTGCCAATGAAGAGACCAAAGAGATAGAGACATCTCTTCAAGTCCTGAAAATAGCCTCTTCTCCATATGTTCCTGGAGAATTCAGCATCCTTTACCAAAAAGGTCTGCTGCTCATTGTCAAAATTGAACCTGAAGAGGTTAAATTTGATTATCAACGATATAACTTAAACCAAGACTTAATTCTTGAAGCAGAAGATGATTTTGATGCTGATTCAGATTCAGATTTTTCAGAAAATAATGACAAACATTTCACTTCTAGGATCATTGATATTGATTATGGGTTTGCTCCAGGCATATATTACATTCTTTCAGACTATTCTATCTCAATTTTGGACTTGAATAAAAGCCATATTAAGATAAAAATTGATCGTGATCCAACAATTCCTGGAAGAAACACCAATGCGGCTGCATTTCAATGCTTGAGGACTATTTCTTCAGGGCAATCTCATGAATCCTCACTTCCAGAATTTCAACCCGAAATCAACGAAAGTAACAGAATTCTAGTAATAGATGACTATGACGTGACTATCTATGATATCAGGCACATGAGTAGGCCTATCCACGGCCCTGCCATGCATATGATCGATGAAGGATACCCCAGCTATGTGACAACACCCCATGTTTGCCTCAACTTTGACAATCATCAGGACCATTTCGAGGAATTAGATAAGGAATACGACCTCCTTCTAGAGAATTTAGAAGATGAAGAAGAACTCGAACTTTCTGAGTTTGGCAAGAAGGCTGATAAAATTAATAACGAAATCTGATTGATAGCTAGTCCTACATCAATAGTAGGAATCAAACACGATAAAGTGAAAAATAATGATTATTACAACCAAATAGAGCAACTCCAGTACTCAATAAAGACCAAGGAGAATTCTATAGGATCTGAATTTCCTTTTCTGCTTCAATGAAGTTCATACTATAGCAAAGCTAGGTGCATCTCAGGTTGTTGCGTGGTAGAAGACAAAGACTCAAAATTTGCTTATATCTTTACAAGTGACAGAATTCGATCTGCACCAGTTGGACAGGAAGCTGAAATATTGTCTAATATTTACCTCCAGATTGTTCCAAAGACAGGTCAAAGAATCAAACTGAATTTTCCAAATCCTTCAGATGTGACTGAGGATAACCAGATCCCGAAGTATATTGAAGACACAATTCCGAAATATGAAGGTGAATCTCCTCTAGATTCTTTATCGAGCAAAGCTGGGTTCAAGAAGTGTGGTACCACATTGAATATTAGAAAGACCAGAGCAGCTCTGAATCAACTTAAACGTCTCTCTAAAATACAAACAGAGGAAGAGAAGAACCACCAGGAAGGAGAAGATATCCTTCCTAGTGCCAATACTGTTGCTAGTACATCTGCAAATTTAGCAAGACCTGGGTCTTTACCTACTAAGAATTCGGCTTTTAGAAGATCTCTTACTGAGATTGACGATAACAAAGAAGTCACTGACCATGAAACTCCGGATAAATCAGCCAATAAAAATCAAGATAACTCAATTGAATCTATTTCTGATAGATTTTATGAGTATCTTCGGAGTGAAGAATACACCAAAATTCTTCAGGATGAAGAGGTTACTGATTTCCATATCTTGACGCCTAAATTGTATGACTTCATAATGAAATTATGAGACTAGCACATATCCATCACATCAAGGCGTTCAATACACGGTGTAACAATTGGGGTTTTGGGGTTTTGGGGTTTTGGGG